TTTACTTCCTCGTTCAGTTATTTGCTTAATTGGGCTCAGACTTTTTGGACCTCCAGGCTGTCTACTTTCAGTGCCAGGAATGTACTAGTTGAAATGTTGAGGAACTCACAAAGATGAGCCCCTGCCCTCCTGGGACTCACAGTCTTAAGTGGGAGAGACCTTCCCCAGGCCTCTGAGTCATCATAGCGTGCCACCTCACACAGTGACAACCCTACTCTCCCACCGCCTCCCCCACCATCAAAGCAGCATAATTAACTATTGTTACCAACTGAGGGGGAAGCAAAGATGGCATCTTCCCTAAAGTTGGGACAGAAAATGCCTTCGGGTGCACTTGTCTGGCCCTGTGTACCAGTGGACATACCCACTGGTAGCCAGTAGTCTCAAGAGGGGCCTGAGATCATCCCACGTGCTCTTCTTACAGTCCCCACCTCTGCCACCTCACTCTTCATGTCACATCACTAACAGGGCCCCCTCATCCAGTCTCCTTCCCCCGTGGTCATCAACTGGGCCAGCACCTCCTTGCCTACCCAACCACGTCAGCCCTCCCAGTGCGCTCTACATGCAAGGACTCACCTTGCCAAGCTAGCTTCACCCCCCACCCACTGGGCCCAGGAGCATCCCTGCCGTTCACCCAGTGTCCTCTCCAAGTCTTGTTCTGCTGGGCACTGCTCTGAGCATTGCAGTAGAGGTCCAGCCTGAAGAGGTTCAGACCATTGAAGCCTCTCACCCAGTGGGGGCCGGGGAAGTCCCAGGACACAGACCAGGCAGAGACGCAGAGACCGTTCACTTGAACTTGCTCTCTCATCATGCCACTCAGCTTGGGTTTTGGCCCCCAGAACTTGTTTTCACTTTCTTGACAGAGAAGATGCTACTGGTCAACGCGTAGAACCCCTAACAGCCCCTAGAAGCTACACTGGGGGAACCTTTAAGGGCTTCTCTCCCCCATCTCCTTCCCTGGCTGTCTGCAGTCTGTGCCCTCTCCTCCCCCACTCCTACCACAGGTTCTGATGCCTGTAGTAGAATCTCCTGCCTTCCACATCTAGCTCCACCAGGCCTGAGTGCCCCACCCTCCCCCGCCCCCAAACCTCCCTGGCTCCAGAGAATCACTTCTTTCCCAGCTCTGTCACCGGATGGGATCACAGAGAAAGCTATACAGCTTGTTAAATCAAGGCAGATATAACTTCTGAAAGTTTGTTTCAGGGTTGAGCCATGCATGTTTGGGATAAGCCGATGAAGGCAATATTGCTCCTCGTTGTGGCCATGGGTCTAGAGGTGGTCGTGGGACCTAGTTTGGGTCACGGGGAGCATCTGGTAAAGAGGTCTCACTTGCTGGAGAGGGACAAGTGAGGAGGTCTTTTTTCCCCTTCTGCTTGAGATGCTGTTGTATACAGACAGGATGCCTGGCTCTCTGGCAACCATATCGTGACCAGGAGGGGAGGGAAGGAGGCAGGCATGGCCCCTACTTTGCAAGCTCCCATGGATGCGAGAGCAAAACTAAATGAAGGCGCTTGGGTCACTGGCACCTAGCTTCTTGACGAATTATAGTAACACACCAGTATTTAAGCCATTTTTAAATATCGATAGTCTCTGTTTGCAGCTGAACACATTCTAATTGCCGTATTATAAATATGCCGACTCAGGACAGAGAGGTTCGAAATAAAATATGTGTGGCTTTTTGTTTTGTTTTTTAATTTGGAGAGAGAGCATTGGTTGATGGCTATCATAAAGGGGCTGGCTGGGTGGCAGTCCACTTTAGTAATGAACCAGCAGGTGGTGCTTGCAAATGGATTCTTTTAGTATAATAGGCAAAAGCAAGGACAAATCCAGAGTCAGGAGAAGCCACTAAATCACACCTGGGATGATATTACATGACAGTCTATTTGTACCTGGTGAATGAATAATTACTCAATTAACTCATTTCATTAAGTCAAGGCAAGTCTAACCAAAGGTTAACTAGCTGCAGAGACAACACAAAGCAAAATGTCAACGGGGCTCTAAGGTCAAGAGGCAGCCAATCAGGATCCAGCCCCAGAGCAAGGCTGGTGAGGCCCCTCCTCTGCAGTGTGCCCTACAGGACTGTGCAGTGCTGGGGACTGTAGAGCTCTCTGTTGATAGTGGGCTTGTTGGGCTGACCCCTCTCAGAGGCCTTCCCTTGCAATGAATATCATTTCCCCAAAAGACTCCACTCCCAACCCCCACCTAGGACTCCCCTCTACCAATCCTAGATTGTCTGGAAATAAAATTCTCCATTACCCACTGGTACCTGACTGTCACAGCCTGATCATTGTTTTCAAATCGCCTTTTTTTCTGATTATAAGTGTTATACACGCTGAATTAAACACACACACACACACACACACACATACACATACATAATGATAACAACAAAAGGCAGGTGACTATAGTGTCAGCACAGAGACCATTGCTGTTAGGATTTCGCCATTTTCTCCTCCAGGTTTTTTTCTATAGCTAGCTAACTGAGGATATGGTCCAGGAGCCCGGCGGGGGGTGGAGGGGTGGGGTGGGGGGCTGCACTCGGCTTATTCCACTTAGCACTGCATCCCATGTCTCTCCAAAGGGGCAGCCTGGAGGGAAATATTGCTTCTCTAGAAATAAGGGTGCCTCATCACTATTTGGAGGGTGGTATAATCTTGGATTGTGTTGTGCTTTATTCAATCCGTGCCATAGTGTTGGGGGGGGGGCGGTCCCTGGGTGGCACAAATGGGTAACTTGCTCAGTTGTTTGATTCTTCCCAGAATTGCCCCTGAAGAAAAGCCTGTGGGTCTGCCTCTAAAAGCCCCGAGGAGCACAGTGCTACTCTGACACGCATGGAGTCACGATGAGTCAGAGTTGACCTGTTGACGGGTTTTTTTTTAACTTACTGGATGATTTCTGAATTTCCCTCTCCCCTTTTTCTTGCCATTCTAAGAAAGTGCTGCCCTTGCAGGAAGGAAGGGCCCTGAAGCCCTTCTCCTCATTTGCCCCTCTCAAGCCAGAAGCCCTCAGCTGCCCACACTGGGTCCTGTGGCTGCCTCTAGCCCCTTCGCCAGCAGAGAGGAACAGTCTTGCCATCACTTAGCTTACACCAGGAGCTGGACACATTGCCCTGGAACATGCTTGCAGAAGTTATTTGTGTCTTGATGGAATAAGCTGCATAACCTTCTCTGTGAGAAGGACGACCAGGAGGTGATAGGAAGCACAGTCTACTTGGAGGGAGAAATGGTAGCTCCCAGTCACGAATAAGACTTAGCTTGGGGCTGTCCCTTTCTGCAAGTTCTTCCTTTAAGCACCACACACGTGTCCATGCTTGCTTTGTCAACCTCCCCCCCCTGCTCAGGAGAACCAGGGATCCCACCGGACTTGAGTTGAGTAAAGGCGGAGGCCTTCGCTCCTTCTGAGCACACAGCTGGCCGAGAGAATGATTCTGCCATAGTCTGACACATCAGTGAGTGATGAGAATGGCAGCTCTCAAGGGAAGGGCTCCTGATGTTGTGGTCACTGTCCTTGCTCCCTATCCAGCACCAGGTGTAGCATGCAGTAGTCGCACAAGGATAATAGAGTGATGAATCAGCAGCCTACTGACCGAGGGAGATGAAACCTCTATAAACGGATGACGCCTGAGTGACCTGCAGAAGTGTAACCGTAGTCTCCCTCTCTAAGAAGATGACAAACAGTAGGGTGAAGAGATAAAGTATTCCCTCATCCATTGCCGGCAGGAATGCAAAATGACACAGCTGATGTGGAAAACCCATGGGCTGTTCCTCAAACCCTTCACCCCGTGACTTGGCAATCGCACTCTTAGAACCCAAAGCAGGGACACAAACAAGTTACGTGTACACCATTGTTCAGTGCAGTACTAGTTACAGAAAAGCCAAAAGGTGGGGACAATCTAAAGTTTCATATACAGATGAATGGATAAACAATATGTCCATACATGCAGAGAAATGAAGTTCTGGTCAATCCCGCAACACCGAAGACACTTGGAAACATTCTTCTGAGTGAAATAAGTCTGTTACAAAAATAAACAGGTGACCCCACTTAAATTAATAGGGAGATCGATAGATCGATGCTAGTGCTTGAGGGGAGAGATATTGCCTAGGGGGTGCAGAGTTTCTGTGAAATAATTTAGAAACCAAGAACAGTAATGACTGCACAACTTGAGTATATTCAATGCCACTGAATTGTGCATGTAAAAATGGTTGAATTGGCAGGGGAAAAAAGGTTATACATATATATATGTGTGTGTGATATATATTTACTGTCTAGAACAGTGGTTCTCAACCTGTGGGTAGCAACCCCTTGGGGGGTCAAAGGACCCTTTCACAGGGGTCACCTGATTCATAACAGTAGCAAAGATATAGTTACAAAGTAGCAACAAAAATAATTTTATGGTTGGGGGAGAGGGGGTCACCACAACATGAGGAACTGTATTAAAGGGTCGCATCATTAGGAAGGTTGAGAACCACTGGTCTAGAAAAAGTAAAAATCTCAAAGCTGGACAAGGCACAGTATCCCAGACTGGTGCTTGAGGCGCCTCCTGCACTGGCCATGCCATCTGCTTACAGCACCACCAGAGGGAGAACCTTCCAGAATCAATAACCAACATCCACCTGTCCTTGGCTAATGTGCCTTCTGATAGCTGCTTTTATGTGTTGAGACCACAAGGGTGTGTTTTATCTCCTAAAAATGAATGGGGGGGGGCGGGAAGAGGCTCCCTCCTTTGGTCTGCAACTTCTGAATGATTCATGAATATGCAGCTGATCCAGAGAGAGAAAAAAAGTAGTGTCTCCCTTTCCTCCCTGCTAGCTTGTTAAACCAAGGAGGAAATGAGGGTCTCATTCTCGTTTAATCGCACATAATGATTGACCAAGGGGTGTAAATGGCCTTCCTCAAAAGGCTGCTCCAGATGTCAAGAACTACTAAGGCAATGGGTCACCTCTTACCAGAACCTTCGCTCCTGCCTACCTGCGCGCTTCCAACTTTGTTTTACTTTCTTTTAGATCTAGAAGGTTTTGACTCCGTGGTGTCATCTACTGAGAAGCTCAGTCACCCGACCACCAGCCGACCAAAAGCAACGGGGAGGCGGCCTCCATCCCAGTCTCTCACATCCGTAAGTGTCTCTCCTCCCCGCCTCCTCCCACCCCATTCTTCTCCACAACTGAAGAGAAGGGAACGTAAAAGACACTTCTGGAAATGACTGCTTAGAGGCGAGGAAGGGCCTGAGCTAGACAGACAACCCAAAGTGTGACTGGAGCGTCCACTTGACTCAAGCAGCTCCTTTGTGTGTCTGCCAGAGATGTGGGCACGGCCCTCGGGGTGCCCACTCTCCTTCTAGGCCAGTCTGAGCCTTGTTTGAACCTGACAGGAAATTAGTGAGGAGGCAAAGGTCTGATGTGTGACAGGGAGTCTGGTTTGTAAAGAGCTGCCTCTGTCTCGGGCCCCGCCAACCCCCCACACCTTCAGAAGGCCCTATGGGCTTTTTGTTTGAGTTGTTTTTTAATAATTCTTTTTTATTGCAAACTTGTTGCCCAATGAGCACGCCACACACGAGTGATAAGAAGTGTCAAGAGGAAAAGTCAGTAACTGCCAGCCCTTCTCCTCAGAACTAAGCTCTGCTCACCTCTTGCTGTGGGGTTTGCCTGACCATGTTTGGTGTAGATCAAATTATTTCCTCAAAACTGAGACCACACAGCACCTGAGGTGCTGGGGCTTTTGTCCTCCTCCCCCTCCAGTCTCCACCCCATTTCCCTTCTACCATTATACCTTCCATGACATCAGTTAGATAGAGCATTTATCTAGCCAGTGCATTGTTGTTGGAAATGTATGTTGCTCCCAGGTCTTCAAAGTGAATGTCATGCTAGAAAAATCTTGGCTCTGCTCCAGAATGATTCACTTACGTAAAACCATTCTGAATGTATGCAGATCAAAAGGCGATCGAGTGTGCCTCTGACGAGCAGGAGCTATCTCCGTGCTGGGCGGTGGCGCTACAGTTTAGTGACCCCGCCCACAGGCGTGGACCTCTTGCAAGTTTCTGAGGAACACCTCTTTTCAACTTCAGCCTTAAAGTGTCGGCTCATTCACTCGCTGCCATCAAATTCATACCAACTCATAGCGACCCTGTAGGACAGGGTCGAACTGCCCCCGTGGGTGTCTAAGACTGTAACTCTTTAAAGAAGTACAAAGCCTCATCTTTCTCCCCAGGAATAGCCAATGGTTTCAAACTTCTGACCTTGCAGTTAGCCCAGCACCTAACCCCTATGCCACCAGGGCTCCTCAAGGGGTGGGCAGTTAGAAGAAAACGAATGCCCCTGCCTTTAAGCCTCTCTTCCCCTGTCTGCTGAGTCTGAAAGAGTCGTTTGAGTTATCCTACTTTTCTTCTTGCACAAAACAAAGTGCCCTGTGTGTGGACACCTTTCAGAGAGAAAAAAGTGGTTTGCTTTTCCAGCACTGTGTCAGCATGGCCTCCTCTTCCTCTCCCTCTCCCTCACCCTCTCCCTTTACCCCTCCCTCTCCCCCTCCTCTTCCCCGTCCCCCTCGCCACACCTCACAACGGCCCTCAGGTACATACAACCTATTTCTCTCTTTTTAAATCATTTTATTAGGGGCTCATACAACTCTTATCATAATCCATACAAATATCAATTGTGTAAAGCACATTTGTACATTCATTGCCCTCATCATTCTCAAAACATTTGCTCTCT